GTTTTCCATGCTAATGCCTTCATGAAATTAATAGTAAATTTAAAACGAAATAGCAATTTATATGTTTGTATGCTGTCTATCACAGTTATCTCTGATTCAGTTGGTTCTTACTTGACTAGTTAGAAGGGGCATGTAGAGTTTTTGGATTTTTTTCATATATTTTTTCTTCTTTCCTCTTTTTGCTTGCCTCTGAGCCATTTCATCCTTTACTAACAATGCAAGAATTATGTGTGATAGGGTGGGAGAGATGAAAAGATGTAAAAATGGCAATAATAAACTTTGATTTTTCTTAGGGAACAATGTATCACGTAGTACAGGCTATGCTTTAAGAAGTGACAAAAATAAAAAGGACTGTTAATATGAAATAAGATTTAAAGTAGATTTAAGTTAGTCATGCATTTATTCATTTGAAAATATTGAACAATTACAATGAAATATTCCATGAGAAAGGTGACATTAAGGTATTTAAAACCATACAAAGACTAATTCTTAGCAACAGTCTCTGGGTCTGCATCTCCAAGCCAAATTTTAACTATTTTAGACAATTAGCCTCATATATATTTTGTAATTCATTAAGCACAAGTTATATCTTTCTTGATGCTAACCAGTACAATACACAATTTTGCATAAGTATGTTGATCAGGGAGGTATTGATGAAGAGGAAGGAGTGGAGAGCTTGGGATGAAGATAGACTCTGGAGGATTAGGTAGTTGGGCCTATAACGGTCATTGTTGCCTACCTACCACCCCTTTAAACCTCCCCACTTGACTGCAGTTTTTGTTCCCTTCTCAGCCAATGTACTTAAGGAGAAGCTGGTCCTACTCTGAATTCAGGAGTGGGCCTTATCTTCTAGGATTAAATCCAAACCCTTTCCAGTGAATGGCTCTGGAACATGGGTCTACAGGCCATGTGGATTGGTTCAGGAATGGGTCAATGAGACATTGACAGGAAGTTTTCCAAGAACTTTCGGTTAAGAACTTGCTTGCTCATAATAGAGAGCTACCAGAAGTCATGGACCCCCTTCATCTTGACATTGTTATCTGTGTATATGAGGCCTGGGCTGTGGCAGCCATTTTGCCAGAAGCCTGAGGATAATGTCTGCAAAACAGATCAGGACAAAGAACATGGCAGGGAACAGAGCTGGAGCCCCGACTGAACTACACCTCAACTTTGCCCTTCTTAGGCCTTATTAGTCTGTTAGCCAGTGAATAGCCTTGATCTCAAAGCAAGTTTTACTTGAGATTGCTGTTTCTGGAAGCCAAAACAAATATTTTAATGTATAGAATCCCAACTTATACTTCTGTAATGTTGTTTGTGTTTATTTTTTTTAAACTTTAAGGTTTGGAATTTTTTCTGATTATAAAACTAATAATACATTCTCATTGTAGAGAACATAGAAAACACTGAAAGATACCAAGAAGAACAATTAAAATCACTCAGAATCCCAATACCCCTAGATACCTTCTATGAATGTTTTGAATTAGTCTTTATATATACAAACTTACATATCTATTTATCCTGCTTTAGTGAAACTTACAGCCTAGTTGGAAATAGAAAACAAACAAACACACCAAAAAGACCAAACAGCTTAATATCTGTGACTATGGAAGTTTGTAGTAATTAATAACCTGTGTTATAACTGTCCAGTGTTGTTGAATCAATGATTGCTGGTAATGTTATTTCCAATCTCCACATACCAGAACAAATCATCAAAGATTTAAAGTAATAACTAACTATTAAAATATATTATGCTTTTGGGCCAGCCGAGTGGTGCATTGGTTAAGAGCTGGCTTGGGATGCCAGAGGAACCCAGTTCGGATCGCACATATGAGGGCCAGTGACACTGCCCTCTACAGCTAAGATGCTGAACAACAGCTCAACTTGGAGCTGGGCTGCCATGAGTCGCCGGCGACAACTAGACTGAAGAACAAAAGGACAGCAATTTGTCTGTTCCCATCCCCCAATTCCCCAATAAAAATCTTAAAAAATAAATAAATAAATAAATATATATATATATAATGCTTTTAAGTGTAATATAATAAAGTCTTATGATGCCCATAAAATCAACCAGTTATCAATATGTTCATTTGGTTCCCCTTCAATAGGTGGTTTTTCTTCTTATTTATGGCAAATTGCCACCTATTAGTGACTGCTTTGGCCTGATCACCATTAGATATTTCCATTGTGGGGGAGGAAGAAACTTCCCTTACTCTTCAATGTTCTTTCAGCTGGTCTAATAGTGAAATGGACATGAGACAGATTAACAAGAGAAAATAAATTTAATTACATACATATGCATAAGAGAGTCAGAGACCCCCACATACATGAGAGGTTCAGGAACAGAAAGTTAAAATGAAGTATATGGAATTCTGAGCTAAGGATGAGGTAAGATGCCTTGGGCTTCAACAGTGAGGAAAGTCATGTACAGGATGATAAGAACAGCAGATATTCAGTAATTAATAATTTGCCCTACCCTATAGATAGATCATAAAAAGTTATTTCTGATGAGTAACTCTTGTTATGGGCAAGTCCCCTAATTTAAATTCTTCTAGGTTAAGGGAGGCAGAAGTTTCTCTTGAGCCTGCAGAATTTGTTGCCTTTAGCTCAATATAATCTACATACCACAAAGGCACATCTTGGGGTAACTTGTTCTGAACCCCTACACCATAATGGTATGTTTAATCATTTATGGCAAAAGTGAATGTCTTCTATTGACATTTTGGCAGTACACATGTGACGGTTCAGTTCAGTGTTCACCAGCTTGCTGGGTAAAAGCCTCTGGAGTAGGGCCTTACTAGGATGGAAGTTATATTGTTACGATAGTACCACTCCCTTAAGTTCTAAAGGTTTTGTAATTTCCATTATGATTTTCTGACCCATGAGTTGATTGGAAGAGTAGAAATACGGGGGTTTATGAGCTGTCTTTTGGTTATTGATTTCTAACTTAACTACACAGTAGTCAGAGAATGTAGTTGCTATGATAACAATCCTTAGATATGTAGAGAGACTTGCTTTATGACCCAGTCCATTCAGTTTTGTAAACACGTCACATATTCTGGAATGTACATTCTGCATTTATTGAGTGTAATTTTCTACACGTATTCATCAAATCAAGCTTGGTAATTGTTATTCAAATCTTCTAGTCCCTTAATGATTTTTTTTTTAAGCCTACAGCACCCGGTATTCCCAGTCTTAATGATTTTTTTGGTCCCCTTGATCTATGTATTAGTTTTCTTTGGCTGTTGTAACAAATTACCATAAAAAGGTGGCTTTAAACAACAGAAATTTATTCTCTGACAATTCCGGAAGCTAGAAGTCTGAAATGAAGGCATCAGCAGGCTTATATTCTCTTTGAAGTCTCCAGGGCAGAATCCATTCTTTGTCTTTCAGCTTTTAGTGGCTGTCGGCATTTGGGCAGCAGAGTGGCTGCATAACTTCAATCTCTGCCTCTGTGGCCACATTGTCTCCTCTGTGTCTCCTCTTCTGCCTCAGGACTCCCTCTGCCTTTCTGAGGACACTTGTCATTGATTTATGGTCCACCTGGGTAATCCAGGATGGTCTCAAGATCTTTAACTTAATTATATCTGCAAAGACCTTGTTTCCAAAAAGAGTGACAGTCACAGGTTCCAGGGACAAGGACATATCTTTTTGGGGGCTACTGTTCAACCCATTGCAATCTGTTAGAGAGATACGTGAAAATCATCTACTCTGATGGTAGATTTCTCTTTCTTCTTGTGCTTGTCAATTTTTGCTTCATGTATTTTGTGACCATGTTATTAGAGACACATTTATGACTCTTTTATCTTGTGTATCGAACCTTTTACTATGTAAAGACCTCTCTTTGTCTCTGGTCACACACACCCACCCACCTACCTAGAATGTCCACTGATGACCAACTATCAGTTATTTAGTCTGAAAAAGACTAATTCCTCCCTCTTCCATCATTTTACATAGAACTGTAAGGTTACAGTTCCCTCCTCAGCCCTTCACTCAATTGTCTTAAGTTTTTCTTATTTTGTATTCCCAAAATATTCCAGGTCCAGAGAATTAAAAATATGTGACTCAAAAAATATGTCTTTAATTAATATGAGGGAGCATTCTCTGAAATTAAATCATTCTAGGTAATTGGTAGAAACGTTCCATAGTGCAGAATATATTGGGTATGTAAAGAAGCTGAAACAAATGGGGACCCCAAAGTTACACCAGAGCCAGTTTCTCAGTGGCTGAAGTGATTCTTCACACTAACTACATACCTGTGGAAATATTCGTTATCTGCTAGCTTAAACATAATAGAGTTTTTCTAGACAACTTTTGTAGCTAGGATGAGCTCCACAATAAACAATTATAACATATATTCTCATATACTGTGGCTATTAATTTGAGAATGCAGAGCAATGAAAAACATTGTAATAGTTATATAATCTTTCCTCTTTGCCCCTCAAGACTCTCACACATAAACTGAAATTTGTAGTCAGATTTGTGAAATAGTGCACGAAACTTGGTATATTTAAGTTTAAATTTTATGGCCTCCGTGCATGGTGTTAAGAAACTTAAAAAAAATGAATATTTCAAACGTATTAATTTTTTTTAGCCACCCTGCTATGTTTCGGTTTCTATTCTCGGTTTTGAGCGTTTGGGAGGTGTGGGCTGAGGCCCACTGAGCAGTCCCATCAGTGGCCACGCAAGGCGGTCCCACACGTTTATAATGTGTGACCCGGGGCCTTTGTGGACCCCTAGCTCCCTCCTCAAGCCAAGGTCGGGCTGCGAGGCCCTCTGCGGTGCGAAAGCCGGGTAAACAGGATGAGCGCAAAAACAGCACCACCGAAAGCGGGGTCGGTGTCACAACTACTGCCGGCCAGGATTTGAGCTCATCTTCAGGAGCCGGCCAGGCTCCCCGTCGTCCGGGCAACCAGACTGAAAACGCGCGTGCGCACCCAAGCTCCCTTGTCACGTGAGGCCGGGCCGGGGGCGGGGCCGAGGAATGTTCAACTGGACTCGTCGCCTCTCTGTCCTATTGCGTGGGAGTGACTCAGAGCTCCCGTCCCTTTTCGCTAGGCTTTCTCGCTGCTTAGTCCTCGCACCACGTGGCCCTCCTGGCCACGCCCCCCCCCGCTGCCCTTTCCAACCGCCTGTTGGAAGCTGCTGTAAAATGTCGTGAGGGGCGCTGCCGCTTTACGGTTGCCTCTCCCAGACCAGAGCCCGGGAGCGCCCACCGCCGTCAATCCTGTCTGTAAGAGTCGGCCTGGCGGAGAGTGAGAGACCCGGCGCTCCGCTGCCCTCCCCGCCGCGCCCGTTCCGGCCCCCGGCGATGTGAGCTCGAGGAGGCTCCGGTGCCCCCTGGGCCGGGGTTGAGACGAGCGGCAGGTGCCTGTGAGGCGGGTGGGTGCTGGGGGCCAGCAGGATGGAGGAAAGCATGGAAGAGGAGGAGGGGGGCAGCTACGAGGCGATGATGGATGACCAGAACCATAACAACTGGGAGGCCGCTGTGGACGGCTTCCGGCAGCCCCCGCCGCCCCCGCCGCCCCCCTCGTCGATCCCAGCCCCTGCCCGGGAGCCTCCGGGGGGACAGCTGCTGGCGGTGCCCGCGGTCTCGGTGGACAGGAAGGGCCACAAGGAGGGGCTCCCGATGGGGCCGTCGCCACCGCCGGAGGCCAATGGGGTGATCATGATGTTGAAGAGCTGCGACGCGGCCGCTGCCGTGGCCAAGGCGGCCCCCGCCCCCACCCCCAGCTCCACCATCAACATCAACACCTCCACCTCCAAGTTCTGTGAGTGCAGCCTTTCCCCGGCAGCCGTGGCAGTCCTCCCCACCCGGACGCCGAATCCGCCCCTTTCGGAGCAGCCCCGCTCCCTTTGTTTCAGGCCTGGATCTCCCCTCCCCTCCCCGCATCCCTCCCCCCTGTTTGGTGTCTGCGGCCAGCGCCGGAGCGGCTGTGGCTTCTTGTGTTACCTGGCCTGGAGAAGCAGTTCTCCCACCGACGCGATCCTTATCCCCACTGGCTGTCACTCAACGTTAGGAAGCTCTTTCCTTCTCCGTCATCCCCTTCAAGTTTCACCCTCAAACGTGAGGGGGAAATAAGGCAGCCTGACTTTCAGTAGGGAGAGAGGCCTTCAGGCTTTTTTGCAGCCAGAGGGAGAGAAGAAATCCGGCAACTTCTGTTTTTGTGCTTTTAGCCAGTCTGCGTTAAAACAAGTCACGAATTAGAAAGTTGACCTGTATCTATCCCTCGTTCTTTTTCTTCTCCAGTGTGCACCTTCTGCATCCCGACAGGCAAGTGTGTGAGTTGCTGCTTAAGCAAACTCATGCCCTGGGAGCTGCGACATCCGTTTTGAAGCTGCTAATGTATAAAATTATTTTTAAACCTACACTCATAAGAACAATCCATTCAGCATGTGTCCAAGTCCATAATTCTGTTGAGTGTTGAACTTTGTGTTAAGTGATCTGCCTTAACACTCAAATTTCAAGCAGGAACATTTAAGACCAAAATCTGTTTTGTAATCTGAAACTGCCCCCCAACTAGAATGTATGTTTCCACAGCTAGGAAAAAAAAATGTGCTTTTGCTTTGAGTGGGTTTTTTGGGTGTGTGTGTGTGTGTGTGAGTGTGTGAAAATTGACTGTCACAGCCAGATTTTGCTCTCCTTTTAATACCTGCAAGTTTTGAATGGCATCTGAAAGTAACTGGAGATTTCATTTCTAGTTACTAATTGTATCTAGTTACAATTATATCAAACTGTACCAGTAGTTACCCAGTTAGTGTTGCAGAGAAGTGTTTGCCTTGATTCAGATACATAATCACGGCCTTAGACATTTTTTTTGTGTGTGGGTGGGAACAGCACGGTAACCTTACTTATTTCCCTTCAAGATACTGCTTTAGTTAAAGACAGTCATATATAGGTATGGTTGGTAAGAGTTGTATTTGATTTTTTTCTGCGTTATGCTTACATGAGAATAATATTTATTTGTATCGTTTGTGTGTTGAAATCTGTGTGGTGAAACCAGACCTTGGACAGAGTGGCGGGGTGACTTCTCTAAATGCTGAAGGAAGCTTGCTTTAGTGCTTAAACAGAGTTCATTTGAGAAGTTCGAAAAACAGGATAAAGAGCTGTTGAAATTAGGAAAGAGCGGTGAAATTAGGATAAGATTTGCCAAACCAAAAGATTGTTCTTTGAAGGTTAGTAAGCTAGACAGACCTCTGATAAGATTGATTAAGGGCAAACAGATGCAAATAAAATAAGTGAAAAATGGGAAATAACTACAAACATGAGATTTTTAAAAAATAATTTTACGACTTGCTATAGGTTTCAAAATTTAGCCTAGATGAAATGTATAAATTCTTAGAGAACTATGGGGTTGTCAGAGAAGTCATGACATATTTTTTCTGTTTTTTGTTGCGAAAAAGTGTCATGACTTTTCTGACAACCCAATATAAACTGAAAATTAGTATCAGAAGAAATAGACAGCTTGAACTAATAAATATCGAATAAACTGAAATGGTAGTTAAAGACCCCCCCCCTTTCAGAAACTATGGACCCCGATAATCTTATAAGTGAGTTGCATTGAACTTTTAAATAACACTTAATTCCTTTTTATAAGTTGTTTTGGGAAATAGGAAAAAAAAGAAAGATGCCAAGCTCATTTTATGAGGTTAGTGGACTCTTGATTCTGAAACTAGATAAGGATAATATGAGAAAATTATAGCTCTGTTTCACTTACTAGCAAAGATATGAAAACCCTACACAATATACTAGCTTATCACATCCAACAATGTGTTAAAAGAATTAAGACCCATAGAATTTAAGAAGGTAAGCATAGTTTAGCTTTTATCTATTAATGTAATTTATCTCATTAATAGGCTAAAGGAGAAAAATGATTATCTTGATACTATAAAATTATTCACTAAAATCCAGCACCACCTATATATGATAAAAACTCTTAGCAACCTCAGACTACAAGATAACTTGTATAAAGGTCATTACCAAAAACCTACAGTAAAGAATAATACTTAATGGAGAAATTTTAGATAGTCACTTTAGGATTAGTGATAACATAAGGATGTGTCTCCCCCCCCCCCCCCCAATCACTTAACGTTAAACAGGTTAAGAAAGATCCTGGCTAACACTGTAAAGGGAAGAAATAAGAATAAGGATAGGGAGGGAAACAATAAAACTCATTATTTGCAGATAATATCACTTACCTAGAAGAACCGCTAGAATCAAGAGAGAAACTATAAGAATTAGTAAGAGTATAGCGGGTTACTGGATTAAGATCAACCTAGAAAAATAAGTAGCATTTACTATACTAGCAATAACAAACTAGTAAAGATAATCAAAAGTCAATATTATAGAAAATAAAGTAACAAAATTACATAGTATTTAGAAATTAACCCAAGAACACATAAAACTTGAGAAAACTTTAAAACTTTAATAAGGAACTAGAAGAGGATCTAAATAAATGGAAAAACTTTTTATGCTCTTGGGATAAGATTACCTATAAGAATGTCAGGGTGACTGGTTAGTTCAGTGGTTAGAGCGTAGTGCTGCTAACAGAAGGTTGCCAGTTCAATCCCTGCATGGGCCATTGTGAGCTGCGCCCTCCTTAAAGGAGTCAACTATGCCATTGTAGCATGAAAGCAATGTGTAACCAATGACCATGACTGTTCCCCAATAAAATTTATAATGAAACAAACAAACAAAAAATGTCAGATTTTTCCATTTTAATGTATAAATTTAATTTAAATACCATCAAAATTCCAATTGGTTTGTCTGACAAAGTCACCTAAATCTAAAATTTATGTGGTAGGAAGATAAAGTTTGTGAATAGCTAAATCAGTCTTAAAGATTTGCTTTTAACAGGACTTGCCATATCAGAAGTTAGGATAATATTTCAAGGCTGTAGCAATAAAAACTAGTATAAGTGTGAGAACAAAAAAATAGATCAGGGGAACAAATTAGCAGAGACTTACCTATATAAATGTTCAGAACTTAAGGTGAAGGTGGCATAATCACTGGAAAAAGGAGTCACGTTGTTCGGGAGAGCGGCTAACTATACAAAGAACAAACATAACACCGTGAACAGGATGGACTTGATAAATTAAAGATCCAAGTGTGAAAGGACAAATGATAAAATTAATAGAAGACAGTGCTGAAGGCCTTTCCTTCGGGATAGGGAAGGACTTCTTAAAGCTTCAAAAATTTACAGGAGTGAAAACTTAATGACTTTGATTATATACAAATTAAGGATTTTCATTTAGCAAAAGAGCTGAAAGAATGAGAGAACATATTTGCAGTGCCTAAAATTAACAAGGGATTAATAACTAGAGAAGGGACTACGCCTCAATAAAAAGAGGGCAGCGACTCCTATAGAAAAATAGGCAAAGGATATTAATAAGTAGGTTACAGCATAGGAAATCCTAACAAGCATAGAAAGAGATGTTTGAAATTATTAAATAATCAGAGACATGCAAATTAAAACAGTAATGCAGTGTCTTTTTCCACTTACAAGGTTGACAAAAATTAGAAAGCTAGATAGTACCAAGTGTGGGTGGGACTATGGGGATAGAGGATTTGCTGGTAGCACTAACGGTATAGGGGACCTGTGAGGTGTTGGGATGCCCAAAGTCTCTGGACTAGATAATGAAAGACAGCTGGAGTGATGGCGTAGCCCTGCGCTATGATGGTGAAAGTGTACTCTGGACTGTTAGATGAAAACAGCTTCTGGTGGTCTGGTTTTGGAAGAGATTTAAAAAAGCATTTGTTAGCTTGATGGATGCATTCTAGGTGCTAGAGACTGTGTTGGTTTGTCCCTGTAAAGAGACTCTATCTGGAACAGCAACTATACTCGTAGTCGCCCTTGATTTGATTTACTATAATCTACATTCTCCAAGACCTGTCTCCTCAGCACTGGCCACACAGGCTAGTAAAATCGGAATGGCATAGCTGTCACCATCTCTGTGTCTTTCAAGCCTTTGAAGTGGTTCCTCTGCAGCTTCCACAGGGATGTGCTTTGGGTTTATTACTTTGGTAGGAAGGGGCACACCTAGGGGATTTTACCTGGGCATCCCTACACTGAATGCCCTTACTCCATACTTCAGTGAGCCATTGAGTGTGCATTCAAGAACTGGGAAATACAGGATGGGTCCATGGCTCTACTGGGCCCATTATGAGATGGATTGAGGCCCAAACACCACTTACCAGTGTGACACCCACAGCTGATCTGACACAGTGACATTCTGGTTCCTAAGGGTTATTATCAGCTTAGAGCCAGTGGTGAGTAACTCCTGAAAAGCCTGAGTGAATCTGTTTCTCAAATGCACTGTCTTCTTGGTAAATAGCTGTGTATTCTATTGGAAAATGCTAGGAGGAAGACTAAGGATGCTCTTGATGCAGTTTTAAAGGGTCTCTCCTCAATGGAACCCATGCTCTCCTTTACTGCAGGGGCTCTGTGTCTGTAAACAGGCTCAGTCTGGGTATTAAGTGAGGTGCCGTAACTCCGTTGTGGTCTCTGTTAGATATACCTAGAGTTTTTTCTTTTTTTTCCCCATTGTACACATCAAGTAGTATCTTACTGCATAGTGCCCATCTGTTTTTCCTACGGACACCATGGTTAGCCACCAATGATCCAAACTATTCTGATAACCAGTCTGGCCCTGCTGCCTATTATCATAATCATGCCCATTTTATATCTGAGGATTAAATGTTTCTACTTACCCTTTATCCCTCTGGGAATCCCATCATCCCATTGAAATCAGGAAGCCCCTTTCATGGCGGTGTTGCCCATCTTTAACCCAGAACTACAAAGGACAGCCACCACGGTTTTTTCCAAGGATATTAGTACCCTCTTTACTGATACATTTCTCAATTCCTTAGTGAAGGGTCTTCTTAGAAGACAACTTAAGAGAGAGCGTGTGAGTGGGTTGGATATGATAAAAACACTCTTAATAATCCTGCCGTCATAAGTCTGGCTCCATTCCTCTACTAAGGAATTTGTGGAGGCCTGACCTTCTCCCTCTTCTTCCTCATTCTCCTTCCCCTCATCCTCTTCTTCCCACCGGTCTGTTTTCTTCTACACTTTTTCTCCATTTATATTCAATAAAGTGTACCTAGTTTAGGCATGTAATTAGATGAATTTTGACCTATGTAACTGTTTGATCTGGGATTTGGGCAAGCTACTAAAAGCTAGCCCATTACTGTTATTACTGGATCCTGACAGAAGCTGGGAGACCCCAAGGTCAGAGAAAGAAATATATTATTCATGGCACAGCAGATAGCCTGAGAATCAGCCTATTTGCATAGGTTCATCTTCCCCCTAAGTCCCTCAGAGATGACAGAGTACGGCCAAGATGGGTGCCCCCTCAGTGGGCTTGTGTTGTAGCTGAGGAATGTTAAACTTGGGGAATCCACTGCTTTTATAGAAAGCAGTAAGCAGACCTGCTCTGTGTCCAGGAGCGGACATTACCTCACCTTTTAAGGTGACAGGCAGTAGAGTGGCCCAGGTTCAAGAGCCATTGATCTGGATCTTGCAGTCTTGGCACACTCAGCAAGCCACGTAGGATGGAGTGTAAGAGGCCCAAGGGGACTGTCTTTCCAACAGTAACCACTACAACTATCAAGAGGTTGAACGTCTCCCTCACTGGAGTACTTCTCATGCTGCTGTGTAGTCAGTACCCCTGCCCCTAGCCCCAGGCGTCCACTGATCTGTCACCAGGTTTTCATACAAAGTAAATCATACAATCTGTATTATTTCATGCCTGGCTTCTTTCTTTCACCATCCCCCCCCCCTTTTTTTTTTAGATTCATCCTTGTTCTTGCATGTATCAGCTATTACTTTTTATGGCTGTGTACTATTGGGCTGTTGGAAAAGTCATGATGTATTTTTTCTATGTTTTTCATTGCAAAAATGTGTCATGACTTTTCCGACAACCCAGTATTTTTTTGGGCTGCACCACAAATTATTTACGTATTCATCTATTGGTAATCATTGGGTTGTCTCCAATTTGGGTTATTATTAATAAAGCTGCTAAGAACAATCATATAGAAGGTTTTGTGCGGACATAGGTTTTCATAAGTACCTACAAGTGGAAATGCTGGGTCGTATTTTAGCTATGTGTTTAACTTTAGAGACACTGCTAAACTCTTCCAAAGTGGTTGTACCATTGTACGTTCCCACCAGCAATGGATGAGGGTTCCAGTCGCTCCACGTATTTATTGATACTTTTACTGGCCAGGCTTCCCTTCTGGGTATTGTCAGTCTTTCTAATTCCAGCCTTTCTAGAGGGTGAATAGTGGGATTTCATTGTAGGTTTTCTTTTTTGCGTTTCCCTTTTACATGTGCAACTGGCTTTTTCAACCCTGGGCCTGTAAGAGTTAAGAGATTATTGTATGGTCGTCATGGATGCTCTTTGGTCATCTGTTCAGTGAGCTAATCGTTTTCTTCAAGCTTTCACCTGTTAGACTCAGACAGCCCACGCCCCAGGCCTTGTATGTCTTATTCCCATCATAACTTCCAAAGCAGTCTGTCAGATTGTTTTCTTCAAGAAGAACTTTATTCCAGGTACCTACAGGTGACAGTTTAAATACCTCTTTGCTGCTTCATGCTATATACTATTAGTATTGTGTTATCTGACGGTGGCAGTGTATCACTGCCTTCAAATCCCGCTGGATTGGAAAGCCAAAACCAGCTCTTTAGCTCTTGAGATTCTGTGTTCTGCAACTACTCTGGGATCATATACTTTATCAGTCACAGTTCAGTGCAAGAAACCACTCTCGGTATCAAAGCAAGAAGAGATTTAATGCCGGAAATTAGGTGTGTTAGAAATTGTTGGAAAGGTTAGAGGTGTACAAATCAGTGAGGCTGCTCCCCTAAACCTGCATTCCGGAGAGCATGCGGCTGCCACCACCATTCCCACGTCACAGCTGCCTGGTGACCAGACCCGGAACCTGGAGTTTGGCTGCCACAGACTCGCACAGCTCTAACTTGACTTTCCTGAACCGTCGTCTTCAGTAATAGATTCTTGACCTCACTTTGGCCTTACAAATCTCACTCAAATGTATCTCATTGGCAGAATCTAATTCGGGAAGTGTAATTATTTAGTTTAACTTGCCATTCTATACTAATCAGTTTTCTATAATAACCTCCACATTTTAAGAGCTTACGGTACAACGAAGGTTCATTTCTGTCTCATGCTCTCTTAGTGGCTGACAGTTGGCTGTGGCTCTTCACGTGCCGTCTCATTCTGAGGAGAAGCTCTTTCCTGGATCCTGGGCGTTCTTGGCAGAGGCGAAGAGAAGAGGGGATAGAAACACAACGGCTTTTACAGCTTCTGCTCAGATGTAGCATATGTCACATCTGCTCGTAGTCCAAATATGTTAAGCAGAATAGAATGGTTTCCTGTCTGAATGTGGTGGGGGTGGGCACAGGTGGGACTAGGGTATGAGGATAAAAGGCAGTGAATGGCGGGAGGGAAAGAGAGCTGCATTGATGGGTGATCCTGGGCCATGATCTCAGGAGAATTATTCACCCAGTTCACCAGAAAGTTCCCTTCTCCAGATGAACAAAAGCTTCACAATATTTTGAATTGAACTCAGTGAATTCATCCTGTTTTTTAAATTAGTTGTTCAAAAATGTGTTAAAAATTGAGTTTTGAATTGAATGAAATTATCAGCTGATTTTATTAAATCCTAAATAAAGTTACCTTGTACTTGATCAGGCGCTGTCAGCCAGTTTTCAGATTGGTTGATTGTTTTAGAACTGATCAGTTAATGTATTCAGGTCTGGAAATGCACTGTTTGCAGCATCGGTGGTGGTTATTTGGAATCTTCTTGGCCTTGCCGGTTAGTGGAGTGGTGCTGCCGTGAGCATCACTATGATATTGATCGATTGGCTAAATTCTGGAATCCCACCGGGGATCTTGTCTTGCCATTTTTTGACATGTATTGCACAAAGTGGCATCGATGAAGCTGTATGAGAAAGCCATTGTAATGTTTATGTAAGGCCAGCTGCAGATCCCTAGAGGAAATGAATGCCGCTTACTTCCTCTTTAAACTGTAACTCTTGGGCCGGCTGAGTGGCTCAGTTGGTTAAGAGCTCGCTCAAGAGTTTGAGCTCTGAGCAACAGCGGTTCGAGTCAGCCCGAGCTGAGCAGCCGTGAGCTGCCAACAGGTGGCGGGATGGCTCAGCTAAAAAAAACAAAACAAAACAAAAACCTGTAACTCTTAAGTTGTAGACCATATGTAATAACATTGTAAATTGTTAAGTGTTATAGAAAAAAGTGATATCCTTTTGTAATATGTTTTGGCAGGGTAAACTGGTCTGTCATTTTTCTTCCTACTTTTGGGGAGGTTTGGCTGTTAACCTCTATAGTCGAGTTGCAGAGATCTGGAATTTGTAGTTGCGGGTGTGCTGACTAGACATCTGAGTGGTGTTTTATTCAGCAAATATTTATTGATTGTCTTCTGTATGCCAGTGTAATCGTTTAACCTCTGATGATGAACAAGACACAGTTTAGTGTGGGAGATGATGGACAGATAATTCTAATTAAATGGTAAAGTTATATATGGTAGACAGAGGAACTAGAGCCTTTATGAAAATGAATAGAAGTTTGTCAGGAGAATTGAGGAGGACTCAGAGAGACTTCCTTGCAGAGGGGGCAGCCTGTGCTAAGGACCCAGAGTTGAAATTCTTTTTGGAACATAGGGTGTGAGGCACATAGGGAGTGGCACAATTAAACGCGGGTAGATAGAAAGGTCTAGCAGCGGTTCTCAACCTGTGGTTGCGATCCCTGTGTGGGGGTCGAACGACCCTTTCACAGGGGTTGCCTAAGACCATCGGAAAACAAAAAGATACTTACATGACGATTCATAACAGTAAAAAATTACAGTTATAGAGTAGCAACGAAAATAATTTTATGGTTGGGGGTCACCACAACATGAGGAACTGTATGAAGGGGTCGCGGCATTAGGACAGTTGAGAACCGCTGCTCTAGAGAGTCAAGGGCATGCGTGCCATGTTAGCGGTAGGTTTTTCTTTTGTAGGAATAGGAGCCTCTGGAGGGTATTGAGGCAGTCAGCTTGGTAAAATTTGCCTTCGTGTGCTAGTTTAGAAAGGAGAGGGAATGGAGGCCTAAAGAGTGGTTGGGGGTTGTAATTACAGTAGTCTAGACAAGAGATGAAGGCTAGACACATAAAGCATCGGTAGAGAGGTTGTTCCAGGTTTTAGAAGCATTTGGGGACTGAGTCGACACAATTCGGGGGTGAAGGTGGGAGGATGAAGAGTCAAGGTCGCTGGTTTGGGTGACTGGGAGCTGGCACTGCCTTTACCTGGGCATGGGAGGAGTGGTGTGTGTGTGTGTGTGTGTGTGTGTGTGTGTGTGTGTGTGTGTGTGTCTTGCTAAGGCATCTATGGACTGCTCAGGGAGAGAGGCCCAGTCGGCGATCGGTCAACTCTGAGCAGTCTCATTGCTGTGCCTTAGAATACTGGAAATGCTGAGACAAATGTAATTTCACTAGATTTATTTTTCCATTTTTGAGGATTTAAGTTTCACCAAACTCTTTGGCCTTAAAACAAAACTTTGCTCTTATTAAAATACAGGATTGTAATTTAAAAACTCAAAATCAGTGGTTCCCTCCCCCATTCCTTCCCATTCCTGGACCCGTTACCCAGAGTCAATCACTTTTCATTCATTTAGCTGTTTCTTCTGCTAGTTATCCACACATTTCAATGTGTAATATTATTATTGCTTAATTTATCATTTTCATATCACCTGTTGACTTCCCATGAAGGTGAGAATTTAGTTCTCTTACAGCTCTACCTACTTTACCTGTTTAGTTCTCCGAATACCACCATTTTTGGTTCAATCAATAAACCATATTTACATTATGACTATGTAAATATTCACTCAAGGACTAGGAGTGCACTCAGATTGCATTTTCTTCCACATAGAAAGAGCTTTGTTATTTGTTGCCTTGTTTATTATACTTGATAGTTTTTGTTAAACACTTTTCAACAGCTTCATCGGATTCACCATATATTGGTGTTTTTTGAAATGCTCAGTTAATCAATATTTTCTTTTTGGCTGCTTGTGAAGCTGTTAGTCTTCCTGTTACTGTTTAGTTCTTAGGGCCACCACAGTTGTCACTCAGGGACTTCCCAAGTAGTTACTTGATGCCTTCCTTTTTATGAGTGTATGCCCTCTGTGTGAGTGTGTGAGTGAGTGAGTGAGTGAGTGTGTGTGTGTGTGTGTGTGTGAGAGAGAGA